AGGGTTGAGAGCCAGTCCACAGTGCTTAAAAGCACACAATGACACGCAGGATATCCAGCTATGCTGCTAACCTTATGACAGTAGAAGTTTATTACCCTAAGTTTAGTTTGCTTATCTTTAAAATGGGAACAGTATTAGGGCCTATCTCATTGGTTTATTGTAGAGTAAATAAGCCAGTCCCTGAAACACACTTAACAGGGGGAAAAAGGCAAAAACTAAAACACTAGGATACCTTCAATCTAAGTATAGGAACCCTTGTAAAGACATTTACGTTGAGCAATTTTTCTCACCTGTAAAAAAGAAGTGATGTGTTTTTAACGTCAAAGGATTCAATGAGAAAATATACATAAATCGCCAAGCACAAGACTTAGTCCAAAAAGAGCTCATTATACTTCTTGTTTTCCCTTTCATTTTCTCTTTCCTGAAAGCTTAGGACAATTCAATTAAAGAGTAATTATCAAGAACCTATTGTGTGTGCAGGTAGGTGCTGGCTGAGAGGGAGCTGCCAAGTGAATGAGACCTGATCCCTACCAAACACGGAATATGAGACAGTAGGAACCCAGTGCCCTGTGGGGATGGTTAGAGGACTGTCTTATTCATCTTCACACCACCAATCTCTGGGCACCGAGTCTGGCTTTCACCCGAGCAGCTGAATGACTGTGGATGCCTCACTTTAAGCACACATGATCTAGAATATGAGGACTGTATGAAAGTTAAAAATAAACAATTTCAAAAAATGATTCTCCTTTAAAGTGTATCCTTCATAGGATGTTGTAAAAGGCATCATAACAGGATCGTATCAAGGTGGCAGAGGAGTAGGACGTGGAGCTCACCTTCTCCCACAAATGCATCAAAAATACATCTACATGTGGAACAATTCTCACAGAATATCTACTGAACGCTGGCAGAAGACCTCAGACTCCCAAAAGGGCAAGAAAATCTCCACATAACTGAGTAGGGCAAAAGAAAAAAGAACAAAAGAGAGAGAAAGGAATCCGGATGGGATCTGCACCCCTTTTGGGGAGCTGTGACGGAGGAAAGGTTCCTGCACCCGGGGAAGTCCCCTCACTGGCGGCAAAATCAGCTGGGACAGAGAGGGAGCTTCAGAGCCTCGGAGGAGAATGCGGCACCCTGTTTGCAGAGAGAGACCTGCATAGAAGGTCAGTGCTGCCAGCACTCCCCAGCTTGGGTCACTCGTCCACTGGGGAGAGTCGGGGCTGGGTGCTGAGGCTCAGGCTTCGGAGGTCAGACCCCGGGGAGAGGACTGGGGTTGGCTGTGTGGAGACAGCCAGCACACGCTGAGGAAAGAGACAGCAAATATCCAAACCAAAAACCGCCCTCACGCCAAAAAAAATTAAACCCACACAAGCTACGCAGGGACACTGCCACATATAAGTAGCCCTCCAAGACTACAGTAGATAATTGTTTCTCCTAAACTCACACAGTAAGAGAAATACAAGCAAAATGAAGAAGCAGAGGAACTACTGCCAGTTAAAAGACCAAGAGAATTCCCCTGAAGGAACAAACAATGAAACAGACCTCATCAGTCTAATAGACGCTGAGTTCAAAAAACAGGTAATGAAAATACTGAAAGAATTAAGAAAGGCTATTGACAGAAATGCAGATTACTGTAAAAAGGAACTAGAAACTATAAGGAGGAGCCAAGAAAAATTTAAAAATTCGTTTGCCAAGACGAAAGCTGAGGTAAAGGCAATGAATAGAATGAATAATACAGAAAAAAGAATAAGTGATCTGGAAGATAGAATAATGGAAATTACCCAATCAAAACAGCAGACAGAAAGCCAAATGAAAAAAAGAAAAAATGAAAGCAATAAAAGAGACCTGTGGGATAATATAAAGCATGCCAATCTACATATAATAGGGATTCCAGAAGGAGAAGAAAGAGAAAAGGGGGTTAAAAATGTATTTGAAGAAATTATGGCTAAAAGCTTCCCAAACCTAAAGAAGGAGACAGATATCCAGATACAGGAAGCACAGAGGGTCCCAAACAAGATGAACCCAAACAGACCTTCACCAAGACATATAATAAAAATGGCCAAAGTTAAAGAGAGGATTTTAAAGACAGCAAGAGAAAAACAAAGAGTTAATTACAAGGGAACCCCCATAAGGCTATCAGCTGATTTCTCTACAGAAAACACTGAGGGCCAGAAGGGAGTAGCAAAATATATTCAAAGTCTTGAAAGGGAAAGATCTGCAGCCCAGAATATTCTACCCAGCAAGATTATCATTTAGAATAGGAGGAGAAATAAAGAATTTCTCAGACAAGCAAAAACTAAAAGAATACAGCAATTCTAAAGCTATCCTAAAAGACATATTGAAAGGTCTGCTCTAAATAGAAAAGAAGCAAGAAGATACAGGAAAGAGGAAATCACAACTGGAAAGTAAATCACTTAGCCAGTATACAGATCACTACTTGTGAAAGTGATGATAAACGCAAGGAACAGCAAAAGGATAAACATGAAGATGTAAAAAAGACGTCAAAATTATAAAATGTGGGGAAGGAGGGTAAGAAAATGCAGACTCTTTTTTTTTTTTTAGAATATGCTTGAGCCTATATGACTATCCATCTAAAGCAAGCAGATACAGGAAGGGGGGTTAACATACTTGAATAACAGGGCAACCACAAATCAAAAACATACAGTAGATTCACAAAAACCAAAAAGAACACAAGCATAAAAGGAAATCATCAAACCACAAAAAGAAAAACAAAGAAGATACAAAGAATCAACTGGAAAACAAAATTTTAAATGGCAATAAATACGTATGTATCAATAATTACCTTAAATGTCAATGAACTGAATGCTCCAATCAGAACACATAGAGTGGCAGACTGGATTAAATAAACAAGAGCCTACAATATGCTGCCTACAAGAGACCCACCTAAAGGCAAAGGACACACATGGATTGAAAGTGAGGGGATGGAAAAAGATATACCATGCAAACGGAAATTACAAGAAAGTAGGAGTTGCAATACTCATATCAGACAAAATAGACTTTAAAGCAAAAGCTATAAAAAAAGATAAAGAGGGATGCTATATAATGATAAAAGGATCAATACAAGAAAAGGATTTTACACTTGTCAAC